AATTAAGTTTAGAATAATATGATCGATGGTTTCGAACACCCACAGCACTTAGGCCACATGTGACCCATTGGACATCCTCCCGAGGAATTATCCTCCTAGGTCATCGTCCATCCTGTCCTTTCCAGGAAGGTGAACAAATCACTAGGAGACATCTCCTTTATATTGGCAGGTGTAGGCCAAGACTCGCCGAACACACACTCACTTACTAAGATAACTCCGGGCACTCGCATAGGACATGCCGACATGCCTGACAGTCTCATCTTCCTGTTTACACATCCTGCATATAAGTGTGTCCACTAGCCCCATATTATGAAGGTGTTTCCTTAGTTGACAGTAGCCAGTCAGAAATCCTACTGGTATCTTCGGCGCCAGCTTCCCAGGGTCGCTCAAGGAGATCATGACAAGATTGCATCCTTTGATTCCATCCCATCTCTTTAGGGATTGAGCATGGGTGTAACATTAGGCTAGTTCCGCAATTGTCGAAGTCATCAGGCCGTGGGTGCCACTGTGTCCTAAAATTCTTGGTACTGACGCTTCCTTGGCTAAAGAGTCGGCAATGCGATTACCTCTACTCCTGTCGTGTCCTTTAACCCACCTCAGGATAATGTTATTATCTACCGAGGCTTTGGCTAAATCTTGGTCTTGTACTAGCCTTGAGGTTATACGTTGTCTGTTCAAGGCTAATAGGGCTTGTCTGCTGTTAGTGCAGATTATTATGTTTTTGCCAGAAATTCATTTCCTGGTTATTTCTTTTGTGGCAATTGAGATATCAGCCAGTTCTGTTTGGACCACGCTGGTATTTCTTCCCATTTTCCACTTGATCCTTAGGCTTAGTGATTTGGAGTACACTCACATCCTGAGCCTTCTTTGGTTTTTGAGCCGTTTGTATATATGCGTATTGCATTTGTAGCATCTGACTCTGTGTTCTGTTTAATTTGTATTATGTAGGATTTATTTAACACAAACCTGTGTTCAATTGCATCACTGGTTGCCTGCAGCAGAGGTTGCGCAGTAAGCGCTTCCCACCATAGGCCCATTTCTACTTCGAGGTTTACACCAGCCGTGCGCAATTGTACCATGGCCATTAAGCCAGTCGCTGCATTTGATATAATTTTTGGTTGGATGGCCGTTGGTTGTAGAACTTTCGGTCCCCATGCAATGGCTCCGTACGTTAACATAGGTCTTATTATTGCAGTGTAGATCCAGGTGACCACACGGGGTGAAATACCCCATGCGCGTCCCACTGTCCTCCGACACTGCTCATAAGCCACATATGTTTTTTTTGCTCTACTCTGTAGGTGAGAGTTCCATGTTAGCTTCCTGTCGAGGATAGTCCCAAGGTATTTCACCTCTTCAGAGAAGTTTAGTTTGCTTTTGAAGATTTCTGGAGGTTCCTGGTGAAAAGGACCATCTCAGTGTTCTTGGGATTGATCGACAGTGAGTGTTCCTTACACCATGTTTCTATTAATTTAAGCCCATCCTGCGCTCTATCGCACAGTGTGTTCACAAATTTGCCGGTCTGCAAGATAACTATGTCATCTGCGTATGCAATTGTGTAGAATCCATTTTTGTTGAGGTGATTAATTAGGGTATCCAGAACTATGTTTTGCGTTTTGTCGACGTACGGGTATTGGTCGATCGTTTACTGGATCAGTGGACTCAAAATTATCCACCACATTGCGAATGGTTCTCTTGGTAGGACGATTATGTAGACCATAAGATGGGCGAAGCGCGCGGTACGTTGCCCGGACAGAACACTCATTTTGATAAAACCATTTTATTATCTGCACGTGTTGTTGAATGCCATATTCGTCTATTGTGATTTGTCAAAACATGTTGAATAAATGACAACTCATTTGACAGATTTAGCTCTTTATGATTCAATGTTTATAGTCGGTTTTTTTTCTATTTCTAATTGAACTTCTGTCCATACACGTATATTTATCAAAAATTTATTTTATCTTGATTTTTTCAGAAGTTGCTTGCTTTTTATACATTGATAGAGAGGTAGAAAGCTAAAAAAGCTTTTCTCTCACGCATATTATGAATACATCATTCACATTCATTTCCAGGGGTAAGGCAAGGAGACGAAGTATCCGTTCATTATGATCCCATGATTGCGAAACTGGTAGTCTGGGGCAAAGATAGATCAGAAGCACTTTCGAAATTGGAAACTAGACTTCTGGAATACAATGTGAGTTGTACTTACATATTTCATTACAAAATACTAAATTCGCCTTCCTAGATTGCTGGACTAGAAACGAACGTCAATTTTCTGCTGGACTTAACGAGACATCCGGAATTTGCAGCTGGAAATGTCCACACTAACTTCATCAAGGATCATCACGACTCACTCTTTGGGGAAGAGTACCCAAGAAAAAGCCAGTTAGTTCAGGCTAGTTTAGCAATTGTTTTGAAAGATTTGTTAGAAGAAACCCAAGATTCCATCGATCGAAAAGATCAAGCAAATCCTTTTTGCGTGGAAGCCAATTTCAGAGTCAATCACAACCATTCAAGAAATATTAAACTGAAGTTCGGTGAAAAAGGTAGGTAAATGTAGAAGGGTTTGTAATACTTTACCAGGCCCACCCAATTTTCATATTGCAAAAATTTGTATGAACTTTTGGTTTGTTTCACACCTTAATAATATTGTTATAACATTTCAATTAGAAGTATTTACATGATAATAATAAGTAGGCATGCTTATTCAAGAATACTTCAGATATAAGCAACACTTTTGGTCGTGCTATCATCAGATAAATCTGATGAATCTTCGTTGAATATTTTGGTTGAAGGTTTCTCAATGGAATGCATTACCCATCATAATCACAGGTAGAATGAGGTCCAACATTTACTCAAAATATTCATCAAACACATTACCCTTCATTTCTTCATGGTAATCACCAGAATCACTGACAATACAACCAAACACTTCAAACTAATATTAAAATGTTCTTATCAGATCGCTTCGTACCGCACTGTAATCTAGACTTCCTCGATATGCCTGTTGGTAGTGTTTATATATGGTAATCGAAGTTTCTTGAAGCTGTTAGGAAAGTCGCTAGAAGTCTATCGAAGCGATGCGGCATTTAGAAAAATCGCGAAGCCCAAGTCCAGTTGAGCACAATCTTGGCCAAGTCACAATCGATTTACTATGACGAGCGGTGACCCGCGTTATTTTTTCACGGAATGATTTACAACAATACATTTCATCCAGGAATATAATGTCAAGTTATTTTAAATAATGCAAATGGCTGTCTGATCTGCAGTACAGGCAGTACCTACATTAAAAGTAATATATTTCTTTCCTAAATACGATTGATATACAATTTTCCATTTCAACCTAGCTAATCAGCTTACTAAATTAGAATTTTTTTGTAGAATTCTCAACCAAAGTGGAGTTCGTCAACGGTGAACAGTACAGAATATCATGTGATGGGGGAGACACATGGCAATCAGTGAAAGGCAGTATAACCAACCAAAATAACAGATCAATTCTGAATTGTTCTATAGAAGGAAACAAAATTAGATGCAACGTTTTTCAGAACGAAGAAACATTGGTTATTTTCGATCAGGTAAATGGTATTGAGAAATCTTATATTTCGAACAACCATCATAGAATTTGGCAAATGATTCTGTCTATTTGGTGTATTCACTTTGAAGATATAAAACAGTACCGGCTGTTTCTGACGCAAGTTTCGGAGTATTTCGTCGATTTCCTCACAAAAGGACTCTGCTGTGATAGTTTGGACCGGTTGTAGAAAGTTATAGTGAATCACACAAATCGTTGAGCACTATACAGTAACCACGGTCTTTTTTTAGTGGGTTTTCGCCTTTGGGAAGTGCCTGGACGCCTCAACGGTGCATAACTACTATCCTTAACATCTCCTGTTATCGTAGAGGATCCACTTTTCATCACACGTGACGATCCGACCAAAAAAGGGATAATTTCAGTTACGCAAAAACAAAGAAGAACATACCTCGAAACGAGACAATTTCTGTCGTGAGGCACCCACTTTTCGACCTTTTTCACCTTTCTGAAACGTTTAAAACTATCAAAAACCGCATGGGAGCTGACACCCAGTTCTTTCGTCATCCCACGCACCATTTGTGATGGGTCAGTCTCCATCAAGGTCCTCAAATCCTCGTCCTGGATTACTGTAGGTCAACCACTTCGGAGCTCATCTTCGAGGCTGAAATCCAAACCAACGTTGAACAGTGCGTTCATTAACACTATAATTGCCGAATGCCTGGTTGATTTTTTGGTATGACTCGGAAGCGTTTTGGTTCGATTTGAATTCGTAGAGAGACATTGGCCGAAACTCACCTAACAACATCATATAGTAATAAGCTTAAAAGGGTTGAATGATTGACATTTGAAAAAAATGAACAGCATCAATGTATACCTATTGCGCTTGATATTTAAGGCCTTTGACAGTGTGTGGCATGAGGTTTTGCTGGCCAAACTTCGATGCTTTGGCTTGTCGGATCATTTTTGGGTATGGCTCTGCCAGCTTCCTGAAAGAACGTTCAAATACTTTTACCATCAACGCAGGTTTTCCCCAGAGATCCACATTGTCTCCAACCCTCTTTTTATTGTATACCAACGACTCATTGGAAAAACCAGGAATCCAATATATTGCTTTGCTGACGACACGTCCACTTGTCTTGTCATTCCAGAGGATTCCAGGACATCGGCTACGGAGGAACATCTTCACCGGCAGCAAGAGGTTGCATGTCTTAATGAGGATCTAGAAGTGATTTCGAATTGGCGTAAAAGTAAGCAGGTTAAATTCAATTCCACAAAAACCCAGGCATCGGTGGGTTTTTGTGGAATTCCAAGAAGATAAATGTCTACAAATCGGATATAAAAATGTCAGGTCAGACTGTTCCGCTTTCTGCTTCAACAAATTCGTTGGGGGTTGAAATGGACACCAATACGTCTTGGCACAATCATGTCGCTGGAATTGCAGAGGCTGCTTCTCAAAATCTTGGACCACTGTTCCGAACCAGAAAACTGCACACACCTCAGCAACTTTTGATGCTTTATAAAGCTCAGATCAGTCCTTTTTTGGAGTATTGTTCTCAAGTATGGAGTTCTGCCCTCAAACATCAGTCATCCGTCTGATTGAAGATGTGAACAGCACGTGCCACTTTGATGATCTGAAACATCGACGAAAGGTTGGAGATTTGTCTCGCTTCTATAGATACTTTTACAGGAAGTGTCCTGTCCTCTCATTACTTTTCCATTAGTTATCATTAAGAATGGTCTTGTAATTCAAGGAATCGCTGATCTTTGAAAGAGAAGCTCAGTTTTCACAATCCTAACAAAATATGTGGGAATCAAAGAATGAAAATCATGCTTGATATTTAAGGCCTTTGACCGTGTGTGGCATGAGGTTTTGCTGGCCAAACTTCGATGCTTTGGCTTGTCGGATCATTTTTGGGTATGGCTCTGCAGCTTCCTGAAAGAACGTTCAAATACTTTTACCATCAACGCAGGTTTTCCCCAGAGATCCACATTGTCTCCAACCCTCTTTTTATTGTATACCAACGACTTATTGGAAAAACCAGGAATCCAATATATTGCTTTGCTGACGACACTTGTCCACTTGTCTTGTCATTCCAGAGGATTCCAGGACATCGGCTACGGAGGAACATCTTCACCGGCAGCAAGAGGTTGCATGCCTTAATGAGGATCTAGAAGTGATTTCGAATTGGGGTAAAAGTAAGCAGGTTAAATTCAATTCCACAAAAACCCAGGCATCGGTGGGTTTTTGTGGAATTCCAAGAAGATAAATGTCTACAAATCGGATATAAAAATGTCAGGTCAGACTGTTCCGTTTTCTGCTTCAACAAATTCGTTGGGGGTTGAAATGGACACCAATACGTCTTGGCACAATCATGTCGCTGGAATTGCAGAGGCTGCTTCTCAAAATCTTGGAACACTGTTCCGAACCAGAAAACTGCACACACATCAGCAACTTTTGATGCTTTATAAAGCTCAGATCAGTCCTTTTTTGGAGTATTGTTCTCAAGTATGGAGCTCTGCCCCCAAACATCAGCCATCCGTCTGATTGAAGACGTGAACAGCACGTGCAACTTTGATGATCTGAAACATCGACGAAAGGTTGGAGATTTGTCTCTCTTCTATAGATACTTTTACAGGAAGTGTCCTGTCCTCTCATTACTCTTCCATTAGTAATCATTAAGAATGGTCTTGTAATTCAAGGAATCGCTGATCTTTGAAAGAGAAGCTCAGTTTTCATAATCCTAACAAAATATGTGGGAATCAAAAAATGAAAATCAGTTTTTGTTCTCAGATCTCTTGTTTACATGACAATAAGGAATTACGAAAGCTTTGTTTCAGATCATTCACAGGGACAAGGATATCCACATACAATCTCTGCTTCTAGAACATTAGATTTTTCACCGTTGCAACTTATGGGACTTTTCTTAGAATCCTCTTGAGTTTTTTCCTCGGTAAATTTATTGTCCTCCCTACTTGCCCCTGAGTTTTGCTTTCCTTCCTTGACCATCTTCAGGGGCTTTTTTACATGGTCCAAAGGCACACATTCAGTTTTATACTTCATTTTTTCGTAGTTCGGTGCCTTATCGTCTTGAGCTGAATTTTCAGGTATTGCTTTTCTTGAAACAGAAAAGCATTTTTTATAACATTGTTAATGACTAATATTATGGTAATCATTCAAACTGCCAAAAATGTCCAGATAAAGTTTTTTGCAGGTATGATAAACAACAAAATATTGATGAACTAATTCTGAGGTTCCCATAAAAACATCAGAAATAGTTAAAAATAAAAATACACTTGAGAAGACTCGATAATTTATCACTTATTAAATATGTAAATTGTCATGTTTTCATTAACTAAAAAGTCTTTTATTATACAGGCTTTATAAAAGGACTAAGTAGTACAGTTTATTGTATGATTTTCACTATAAAGGGTTTTTCAAAAACCGCGACACGTGTTTCGATATACAATAGTTGTATTAATTTGTTTTAATATGCATTTTCATCAAGTATCGGCCAGTTCTATAAAATTTTTAAAAGGAACTTGAAAATTTCATTTGAAAGACTATATTATAACTTCTGGTAAGAATGACTATGAAAACAAACATTTGCAAAATTTTAGTGAAGTTGCTGGATTCCATCCAAAAAAGAGCCAACCGCACGACTGGCGGACATCACTTGCAACCTTGATAGTCTGGAACATCGAAGGAAGGTTGGAGATTTGTCTGTCTTTTATAAATACTTTCACGGGAGGTGTTCAAGTGACTTGGCACATTTGATTCCACCAAGAGCGGTACATATCAGAAATATGCGACGGACTGTGGCTACTCATCGTTTTGAGGTTCAACTCACTACACCTCGAACTACACTGTTTAAGAATTTTTTCATCTGGAGATCTGCGTGGATTGGATTTAATCTTCAGTGATTTAAAGTGAATCGCTATCTTCGCACAGGCATCGCTCTGAGAGCGCCTTAAGAATATTTCGGTAGTGCTTGTGTTTTGTCCTTAAAAAATGTAGAGCACTGAAGAGTACAAAATTTTCTGTCGATCAGTATATACAACAACACAGTAGAGTACATATTTATTGAGAAATGGAGTTACAAAACACATGACATCAAAACAGAAAACTTTTGAAATAACCCAATATATGACATTAATGTGTTGCAATTCTTAAACTTTCATGAACAGGTAATCATCATTTTTCATGACAAAATGTTCCAAATGTATATCTATTTATTTTTCTGAAACTTCGGAAAAGCTGAGATTTCTCTTTGATTTTATGAATTGAACTTCTTACATTATCATTTAGGATGAGTACGATAACATCTCGATGCACATGGTCTCTGGCTGCATCTAATTTTTTAAATTTTGGCTGCCAAAGCACAACTATAGGAAACTGACTGATATTACTAAACAATATTGGAAAACAATTATTGATATTTTTTTATTTCAGCACGGCAAATCACAGTTTATGTTACCCCAACCGAAATTCATAACCGATCAAGAAGACACTTCGTCAGGATCGTTGAACAGAGCAGTGGCTCCCATGCCCGGAGTGCTAGATAGGATCCTTGTCAAAGTTGGCGACGCAGTGAAAAAAGGCGACTCTCTATTTGTTTTAATTGCCATGAAAATGGAACATGTTGTAAAGGCATCAAGAGATGCCGAAATTACGAATGTTAATTTTAGAGTTGGCGACAATGTTTCCAAAGATGCTGTTATTGTTCAGTACGATGAACTAGAGACATCATCGTGAAAAGTTCATACTCTTTATTTTGTTTTTTCAAATAAATAAATATGGTGCTGATGTTATTTTATCTTTTCCCTCATCTTCGAATTCCTTGAGCTGATTCAGTTCTTTTTTTTTCTGATTGACTCGGCCGTTACTTGATGAAGATCCATAGTGATTTAAAAAAATACACCTCACGATTTGATCTCCACAAACTTTATTTGAAAAAATATAATATCAACATGTTTCGCTAGCACTGTAGCTTTTTAAAATCTTTTATCAGAATCATGCTGTATTGGTATTTCTTTTCCCTTTCAAATCTATAGCTCTGTCTATTTTCTTTAGATTATATTCATACTCGTATTATGTTGCTGTATCGCTGCTGTTCTAATGTTTCGACAGAATCACAATCAACGAACTTAGGCGTGCGCAGCGTTATAGAACATTGCTTTCAAAAAAATTGTTCTACAGCACCATCTAGTGGCGAGTTACAGAAAAATTGATAGCCTAAAAACCTTCTCTATGAAAAATTACTTATACATGTCAAGTTTCATCACGATTGGTTGAGCGATGTAGAAGTTTATCACTTACCAACCAACCAACCAACAAACATCCATTTTTATATATTAGATATGAATTATTAAAGAAGAAAGTAATACAAATTATGAAACAACAAAAATTAATTGGCGCTCTGGGAAAACTTCATTGATTCCAGTGGCTTTTTCAGCTGCAGGAAAACCCTGTAGAACCTACAGCACCACATCATTTGAACATCTTAATCTGCTAATGCCCTCTCTTTCATAAAACAAAATATAGGGTGTCTCCAGAGGCTCCAATAAATTCTAAACATTGCCAGAACACTTCGTGACACGACTATCGTCAAACATAAACCAGTCCGTTTCGTCTTTGACCAATGCCTAATAATGACCAGATTCAACGAAGAGTTTGGTGCATCCGTCAGAGGTTGAGTCAAGTTTGAAGATCATCAGTGTTATTATTAGATTGAATGGTGCCTCAGCTAGACTTGTTTTTCATAATAGTCAGTTAGTTTGGCGCATGTTTGGCAATATACTTGATCATCACCCGTTAAAAGTTTCATTTTCAGATGATTCGACAATAAGCTTTGCACGGACTGGTCATCAGTCATATTAGGAAACGGTAGTTGAAGTTCTAGAAAATCACATACGTTTTTGCTACCTCTTGAACATTTTCTACAAAGTAAAGAAGTGAAGATTTTTCCAGCCAAAGATCTAAAAATACGAGACGAAGTAGACTGTACGATATCATTCAATCCAGAGCAGTCAGGAGTATTGATTCTGCTATTTTTTTGCTCACAAAGAGTATTCAATAAGAACCTCAAGATTTCGGAGCAATACTCTTGTTGTCCTAACGAGTATCTAGTGGATTCCAGGAAATCGGAAATCTCTCCTCTCCTCTCCTCTCCTCTCCTCTCCTCTCCTCTCCACTCCTCTCCTCTCCTCTCACCCCTTCTCGTCCCATACCATCCCATCCCATTCGACAGACTGTGGTGATAAAGCTGAACTACGAATTGATTTGTGGACTCAACTGTCCTTGAAGGACAAGCACGAGGAAGGGGATGACATTTCCCCTAAGGAAGATTCCATCTATGGGATCAGGAGAAGACTCAATATAAAAATATCAAAGCTGAACGGGACTATTCAAGATGATCTGTTGCAAAGTCATACTTCGATACCGCCCGCCGGAAGAGAATTTGTCCGCTGTCTTTCAAAGTAGCTTCCACTGCAAAAGAACTGGTTGAAAACCAGAATCACAAAAACAAAGCATTCGCGATCCAATTCTAGATAGTGCTGGTTCAACTTGCCATAGGTCTCAGTGGTGCTACGAATGCGTTGCTGGTCTCAACTGTACTCAAGGGGCGAGTCTGAGAAAGTAAAGAGAAGACGCCTGGTGAGAAACAACGATGTCTAGTGTTGGATCACTTTGGGGAGCCTTTTATAGTCGTTCATTTACTCTTCTGTTTGGTAAGGGGAGATTACATCGCCTTTACTTTTTCGGGAGGGCGCCACTCGAAAAGTAGGAAATGCCACGGCGCGGATGCTGCGTATGCCACTGGCAAAGAACAAAGTATTGGTTGTCGCAGAGCTATAGAGTTCGAACTGCTACCCGAGAATGAATGGAAAGAGCAAGAGAGTACGAATGCAGTATATACTACCTGGGCTGAAAAGTATCGGGCCTAACACATAGATGGCGCTAGCCTTATTGCATTCACCGTTTTCTCAGTCAGTACTTTCAGTACCTTGAAAATTCGAAAGTTTTTCGAACAACGCCGATTGGTTAATTCTTGAATCGAGTGACCGACATATTTATCTCCAGCTATCAGATAGATAAATGAATACTTACTATTATTTAGTCTATTTCCAGCTGCTGAGCAATACAATGATATCAGATAATGACGATTCGAATTGCGAAACAAAATTAACAGTGCAACGTGTGGAGGATGGAGAAAGTTATAGTGAAAATGAATTTGAATCGGAACTGGAAGTCAAAAAGTAAGTCGATGACATTATTCTGCATGATTTCGAGAGAAGAAATATATTAGTACGAGAATAATACATTTTTCAAATGAATGAGTTCGTAATTTGATTGGAATGGATGGATGTTCAGATTTGTAATACAAAAACGCATGAAAAAGGTAAAATAAATAAATTAAGACCATACATTTTCGAATTGAAAAGCATCCAGAAACAATACCTTTCCGTATCTTTGGGAATATTTTTCTCTTGCAATTTGTTTTTATTTTCTATTTCAGTATATCTAGAGAATCATATGCTGGGTTTGAATTGATTCAGAATTCCATTATGATACAAATCAATACATTTTGATCCCTGATTCATCTTTAGATGAGTTGAATATTCCCTTTAAACCAGCTCATGATCATATGCTGCTGCGCTGCTGCCTGTAGATGATAGCCAGACATGACTCTATGTGATTTACACTATTCTACATGTTACTCAACTTACTCAACTACAGAACAGGGACATAAGTCAAATTACAATATAATACAATTAATAACTTATAAGGAGAAAACAATACATATAGAGTTATCTGAAGTTGAAAATCCTGATCTCAGAGATGGAACACTAAAAAATGTCGAGCTGACAACTTGCAGAATTGCATTTGACACACATGTTATGCAGAGGTGAACGTTTCAGAATTTTTGTACGTGGTGTAAGAGGATAAAGAGGATTATCCACTCTAGAGGTTTGTCTAAGTACATTGAAATTAAGTTTTTGCAGAATATGTGGGTCAATAATCAAATTACTAATCTGATTGAAAAGAGAAATTGTGGAGTGACAATCACGACGGCAACTCAAGCTATTCATAGCATGTCTAGCCAGCCAACAATGCAATTGTGTTCAATCGATGACGGCAACATATGCAGAAATTACTTCAGTGAAGAATCCTGCACTGACAGCTGTCGGATATAATCCAGCGCTCTTCGTGGAATTAGCCAGGGAAGTAGTTGTTTTCTGATAGGTGTCAGTCCATTTACCAACAGGTAGGTGAGTTGAGACTGGCCTCAACGAATTGTTCTTTCAGATAATTTGATTTACTGCCAATCTTCAAATATGCCGCGTACCATATGTGGAGAATTCAATATCCATCTTGGTAATAGCCGGGAGAGTAATTTTTTGACAGGCATTTTCGAGCCCAAAAAAGAAAACGAGTTTTTTTTGTACAAATATAATATTTACCGTTGATGGTATTTCTCTTCTCTGGATAGTCGATGAATATTACACCAAGCACAAACCAAAATACCGAAGCCATAAACTTTCCAGTCAATTGTTGTGCTTTCGGGTATTTGGACGAGGTTCACCAGTTGCTTTTCACTCAGATTACGATCGTTTTGGTTCCGAAGTGAAGTGATAGATCCATGTTTCATCTATTGTCACATATCGACGCAAAAAATTCGGTTTGTTATGTTTAAACATGGCCAAACACTGCTCAGAATTATCAAGACGTTCTTGTTTTTGGTCAACAGTGAGCTCCGCGACACCCACTTCGAACAGATCTTCTCATAGTCAAATGTTCACGAAATATAAAGCCAACACATTCTTTTGAAATCCTCACAATTTCAGCTAACTCATGCAACTTCACTTATCGATCATTCGAAAAGATTTTGTGGATGTTTTTTGTTTTCTAGTGTTACTGCCTCATTTGGACGTCCATTGCGTTCTGCATCATCGGTATCTCTACGACCCCGTTTGAAGTCAGGGAACCAACGTTTAATTGTTGTTTCTGATGGAACCATTGCTCCAAGCCATTGCTTCGCTTGAATGGTATTTCTTTCATGAAGAAGCGGTGTGAAATGGTAACAGGAAATAATTTTTGATCCATTGTTTTGAAAATAACAAAAGTAATGTCACTCTCAGCATAATAGGTCACAATGCAATAACACTAGCGCCATCTATGTGCTAGGTACGAGACTTTTCAGTCCATGCAGTATTTTTTTAAGGACAAAACACAAGCACTACAGGAAAATCCTCAAGGCGCTCTAACAGCGGTGCCTGTGCGAAAGTAGCGATTCATATTGGATTTGAATCGCTGGGGATTAAATCCATTTGGGAAAACGTCCTCAGGAAGTTTATTCCACATAAACGTAGTTCTCCAGATGAGAGAGTTCTTAAACAGTGAATTTTGAGGTGTACTGAGTTGAACCTCAAAAGATGAGCACCCACAGTCCGTCGCGTATTTCTGATATGTACCGCTCATGGTGGAATCAAATGTGCCAAGTCACTTGAACACTGAATCGTGAAAGTATCTATAGAAGATAGACAAATCTCCAACCTTTTTTCGATGTTCCAGGCTATCATACACGTGATGTTCGCCTCTCCAATCAGGCGGATGACTCTTTTCTGGATGGAATCCAGCAACTTTAGGGTATGCTTGGGGGCAGAGCTCCATTCATGAGAACAAGACTCCAAAGAAGGTCTGATCTAAGCTTTATAAAGCATCGAAAGTTGCTGAGGCATGTGAAGTTTTTTGGTTCGGAACAGTGTTCCAAGCTTTTGAGAAGCAGCCTTTGCAATTCCAGCGACAT